TAAGAGTACCCGATTCGAATTTGTGAAGCACGTGACACATTGAAACAATGGATATTAAAAGATTCTGAAACGTTAACAATTAGTGTCATGATTTATACATTGCCATGAATAAGCACGAACGTGTGCATAATTACGACGAATATGTGCTCTTCGCTTAAACGGCAAAGAACGGTTCCAGAACTTTTTGACATTCCCTCCATTATCAACCGAAATGGGATCAAATGGTTTTACATAAAACGATTTTTTCTTTGGCGTCGGATCAGTAGTCGTGATATTCCGATGTAACCCATCGCAGCTAGGCTTGACTCTTGGCGGGCACTTGTTCGCCTTGAGAGCGAGAACAAAATTGAGCGTCTGCTTCGGCACTAGCAGAACTCCCAGTCACGACTGAGAACAACCAAGCTCTGTCGTCGTATTGTGGCTTCTAGCAACACAACAAGCGAATCTGGTAGCTGCGGACCGCATCAGGGACAGCAAGCTCTAAGGCCTAACGTGTCCAAGTCCGATTGATGGCTGCGCAGCCGAACTCTGTAGAAGCCATGATAGCTCAGCTACTTCTTTCCAATATGACGAGTCGAACGATCCTCGTGATCGACAATCATCTCAACCAGCCGACAACGCTCTCCACGAGAGTCTAGTAGTTGATGTGGGACTGACATGAAACGATTGAGCAAATCTTGAAGTGGAAGAGTGCACATGGCAAATGAGGCGTTGCTCGACGCTTTAAAATAGCTGCGAGAGCCATTCGGATTTTGCCGCAGAGCAGAACTGAAAATTGTCGTTCTGACTGATGTTTCTGCCCAATGCTCGGCTTTGAAGTCCCATTTAATACACGATTTCAACAGGTTTATGATGAACTTGTTCGACTCCGGAAAAAGAAGAAAAGTCTCGTTTTTTAGCTCACGAACACCTGTTGCGCTGTGTTTAAAGAACAGGCTCTGTTCTCGAGGTACTCTGTGGTAAGTACCAAGTAAAGGGACAACCTATAGATATCCTTTAACGCTTGTACACCGAGAAGAATCTGAAGGGTGGGGGTTGGTCTTTCTGCGTGGAGAAAATTTTTTATTATATTATCAGCTCGATCATCTACCTATGGTATAGTAGGATCGGCAGATCCCCTCGGAAGATATGACTTTAGCCTACCCACATAAAATGTAGAATGAAGGTGTATGCGTGTAGGGATGACTTATGTATACGCATCATCATTGCATTTAAACACCTTAAACAGTCCAGTGAATCTTCCCAAGAGCTTTTTGCTCCCCAAATTGGACAAAAAAAGTAGTAGAAGAAAATATTAGACCTGTTTTACCTTCTAGTTTTTTCTTCCGCTTCCATCTGCTTCCCCTTTTTTTGGATTCTGAGCTTTCGCAATTGCGTCTAGAATATACCGCTCATCGGTTGTCTCTTCACCAAAAAGCCATTGACGTGCTGTTTCTCACGGCTTGTCATGTTGTCTAATGGTCTCATTGAGCCAAATTTTGCTTTAAGTGGGATGACAGCATTAAGGACTGTCTGTGAGTCGATAGCCATAGTTTCCTCCCACTAAAAGTAGAGACCTTGCCCATTATGGAAGCAGATACTCTAGGATGAATACCACAGTTCACATAAAATGGCGAATAACCTGTCAAGACATGCGTGGGGTTGTCCAACGCAAACTCTGCAAAAGTGAGATTCACTCCACACCCTGAACGACGTAGCGTAAGTACGCAGTACGTCGTTCAGGACTCGATTCTCACTCTTAGTTTGGCCGTCATTTTATGGGTGCCACTATTGGCATGGATAATGTGATGCAAAATGGTCCAAACAGTACACGCCCAAACTTTGACGTAAAACGGATATCAAAGTCAGACACGATCTCAATAGGAAGGCCTTCAGACGCAAAACAACATATAAAAGACCTTAGCTGTTTTTTGGCAGACGTCTTATTCGAAATAAGTGAAAGATGAATTATTTTGCTGAGTCGGTCCACTGACGCAAGGATCCCACTGCCTCCATGTGTGTCACGCGGCAGTTCGGATATAGCGTCCAGTCTCACAGACTTCCAGCTATCGATTGGCACTGCCAACAACATTAATTGGGTCTGATTGGAACCTAATGGATTCAATCCCTGGCGCTGTGTACTTCAAAACGGTGAACATACGATCCTGTGCGAGACGGAAGATCTTGCAGTGTTTTGTCGAAAGGGCGCTTGAAATACCTCAACAAATCCTGACATGTCTTATCAGACTTGTTCCCTTTGACAATTTCTTCGCGCACCAGAGTCGTTGCTTGCACTTTGGTCGTCTGAAAAATCTTCGCATTGTAGACATGACTCGTGCATATTTTTGTTCCTGGACTTTGGGTCATACTTCGGTTGTTTTGACAAAGCATCGGATAAGATGTTCATCTTGCCTGGCATGTAGTGTACAACAAAGTTGTACACTGCAAAAAGAAAAACCATCGAGCCATTCTTTGCGATAAATTATCAGTCTTTACTGCCATACGTGGTACATGATCTGAGGAGACCCTCTCGAATCAAGTACACACGGAGTATATCCAAAGCATACCTCATTCCTAGAAATAAATTAGATATTTCCGTTCCGCGGGCCGGAGCTGTCGCGACTGATACGAACCATCTTGTTATCGATCCTCAATCAAGATGAACACCGATTCAGACTTTTCGCCCGTTTTCTTACTATGAACTAATATATCGTCAGAAAAACACCGTGTATTTTTAACTCCTCGTCGAGGCGAATGGTAATAGTAACGCTCCTCCCGGAAGTTGAGAGGTCGGAAAACCAACACGGCATCCGCGAGGTTTTAGCAGGGCTAACTTCGCGCCGTTGGCGCACCTCACCCTCTTCTTCTTCCTAACCTGGGAAAGAAATATCCGACTCGTAGCCGACTTCCACCGAATCCTCGACGATAAAACTTGTTGCCCGCGGCGGGCGCGGTGTGCGGCGCCCGGTTGTTGAAGGCTTGGTATGTGCTTCCCGTGAAGCCGTTGACATACTGTCCGGAGATGCACCCCGTGCAGAAGACAAGAAGGGCTCTGCCCGCAGGCGTCCTCGGAGCCAGCTAAGATAGATGCTTTTCGTGGCAAAGCCACAGGGCCAACTGAGCGGAGAATGTTTCAAGACTATCCGAGGGACGTGACAGTGTCTCAGACACGCGAGCCTCGTGTGAGTGGACAGATAAATGTGATTTGTGGGGACTCAAAACTGTGATGGGGGAGAGTGTAACGGTGTTGTACGTACCTTTGTATGAAGGGACGGGTAACACAAGATGGTGTAACCGTAAAGAGCTGTGGATTACACAAGTTGGTGTATAATCACACAATAGTGTGGCTACACCATAGCAAGATGCCACTACGTGGCTTGATTGCCAGTAGTCACGCGTATTAATTAGATTTAAATATTTTAGATATTGGCGGCTCTGCCGCAACAAAACAATTGAATTCAGTTTTCAATTTAGAACGGAATCGCGTCTTTACCTTGGTTAAGGTTTTAAGTACTTTGAATGTAGAGAATTGCAATCCGCTACACTCGTATTGGTTCCTGTAATGAACGTAAGGTCGGTGACCTTAGCTTAGCTTCCTTGAAGCAAAGAGCTAGGGTCTGGCAGCGCCAGTTTTGGTGCGTGAACGAGGGTGATTTTGACCCCGTCGGATGCCTCCCGAGACTTAGTGTCCCAACACCATTCCGTATCCTCATTAAGGACATTCGACGATGGCCGAGCAATTTCCGTATAGTTTGCGCTATACTTGTTCAAGTAGTTGGCGAGGCCAAGCCACTTGTGCAAGTTCTTTCGGTTCTATAGAATTGGCAAGTCCTTTCGGTTCTATAGAATCGGCAAGTCCACAATAGCCTGGTCGTTAGCATGATTCGCTCGAAGGCCAGGCTTTCCAATGAAGTGCCTTATAAAGGAGATTTCTTCTGCGCCGAGGATGCATTCATCGGTATTGGGTTACAGCTTATTCGTGCTTATGCACACCAGTACCGCTCTCAAATGGACGGTGCGGTTTTTTCTAATCTGTCCCCTCGTGTCCCGCACGGCTGTGGGCGAAGCTTTTATCGAAGTATATCTGTGCATATGCTCTGTGG